GCCATTTGGGCCAGGGAGGGAAAAAATTTGCGGATTCTATTAAAAATTCTATTTCCTTCAACCCCGGGGTTAAAAATCCCTGGGGGGGGGGGGGGGGCGGTCCTCCCATCCCTCCCTGGGGTGGTCGGTTTTTTTTTTTTTTTTGGGCAGGGGATGGGGGGGCACAAAAAAAATTGGGAGTTCGCACGGGGCAGGGGCGGGGGTGTTTTGGCATTAACACAGGTACAGGTCCCGGAAAAGGATACACCCCGCTGGGGGGAACCCCCCGCTAGGTAGCTTCGATCCCTGCCTCCCCCCCCCCCCCCCCCCCCCACTCCCTCCCTCTTCTCTGCGCGTCGTCTGAGATTCTTCTGTTTCTGTCGTCTGTGTGCGCGAGGGCGAGCGGAGAGAGAGTGTGTGTGTTTTGTTTTGTTGCGAGCGGCGCGCAGCACTATGTTATTTTCTTATCTAACCTTTTGTGAAACGACGGTCGACGCGCGCGCACACACAGAACAACTCCAGGCCCCAAATGACGTGTGAGTGTTAGAGTTGTTTTTGGTAGTGCTAAAATTCTCTCTCACACACAGCACACAGGGCACCAAAAAAAGAAATTGAGGGTATGGTGCGGCAATTTTCTTTCTGCATTCTGGTTCGTTGTTGTTGTTTTTCCTGATTTCCTCGAGGCGCGAGAGGAGATATAAAGGTTAAAGCGGATAGCAAACCGCGCAAGAACACAGCGCACTCTCTCACACAGTACGAAGACTCAGGCTGACAACGCGGTCCCTCACTTTTTCCGCCTACGCTCCTGCACGTCGGGGGCGAGCGCGTAGGGCCGCAGCTGGAGCCGCTCGCCCACCTCGGCGACGGCGTTGTCGAGCGTCCAGCCGGACGTGAAGAGGAGCACCGGCCTGCCGTACACGTCCTCGAGCGTCTTGACGTTGAGCAGCTTCCGCTCGGAGAGGACCGCGTCCACCTCCTCCCACCCCGCCATCGCCCACCGCGCCTGCGTCTGCGGCATCATCTCGTACTGCACCTCGACGCTGTACTCGGAGCTCAGCCGGGACGAGACCACCTCGAGCTGCAGCGGCCCCACCGCCGCCAGGATGGGCACGCCGCCGCCCGTGTCGCCGCGCTCGAGCAGCTGCGGCCGTAGGGCGGGCGCGGGGCGGGCGCGTGGCGGTGCGGGCCGACGAGGTGTCTCGGAGGTGTCTCGGAGGTGTCTCGGAGGTGTCTCGGAGGTGTCTCGGAGGTGGCGGAGAGGTCGGCCGCACCTGCTGCACCGCGCCCTCGTTGAGGAGCTGCTCGATGCCCTTGTTGAAGCTC